TCTCACTAAAACATTTATACTAATAAAAATTTAATTTTAGCATATAAATTTATCCCTTGATATAAGATAAAGTAACAGTTTTACTTATTGTTGTTAACCATATAATATTTAATTATTATTTTATTATATAATAAAAAAGAATATTGTTAAATACTGTAGTAGAAATGTTGTAAAATTATATGATTTTTTTTTTACAATATGGATTTAATATTTTTTTATGATTTGATAATATAAACAAATCTAAACTTAACTTTGACAAATAAAACAAATAAATACTTTAGTAAGTATTTAATGTATATACTAAATAGGAATATATTTGGTACAATCAAATACCAAATATAATCAAATAAGTCAAAGTGTACATTTTTATTTGTTATTTGATTTTTTTATTATTAAAATCTTCTTATTATACTTACCTTTTTAAAATAAAATAATTAAATAAATTAATTAAATAAATAAAATATTATAATACCAAAATAGTAATGGTATTTAATGCAGTTGACTTTTCTAGATAATAAATGTAATAAATAGAATCTCCTTTTATATAAGTATAGATATGATATTATATTATGTTGCTCAAAATAGTAATGCATTTATTGCATTGGCTTTTCAACTTACTAAATTTCGTAAATGGTACACCTTATTATATAAGTATAGATTACATTATGAGTGCGTTTGGTTTCCAGCGTTTTTGCCCAAAACGCTATAATAGCGGGTTTGACCGAATCAAAACGCCAAAAAATGTGTTTGGTTGGGCAGCTTTTTATATCAGCTGATTGGACCGAAACGCTAAAATTGAATAAGCTACATTTTGGAGCGTTTTATGTTCGCGGTTGGCATATATGCTTGAATTAATTGATTAATTTGATTGTTATTTAATAGCCTTTTAAAAGATCAAAAGTAGAGTAGTGTACATGATATATGTACATGTGTGAGTAGTGTATAGGATATATGTTTTTTCAAAACCGGTCTACAAGAATTTATTTTTAGTATCAATAAATTAAATGAAATATAAAAATTATTTATTGTTCTATAGAATAATTATTTACCTTTTGTTTAATTGAAACTTCGGTTATCAATCAAAAAGTTTCAAGCATAAAGAATAAAATTTGTGCCATTATGTTCTTATTAAATTTTAAAATTACAAAATATGCAATTATAATTTTTAAATAATTATAATAAAAAATATTAAATTATTTATAAATAGTCTTATTAGTAATTTAATATATTATCAGCTAATAACAAACAACCAATTTTACCAAATATTCTTTTATAAACAACTTATAACATTCTAATGGTCAAAGCAACTATTACTATCAGCTGGTAAAATCAAGTTATTTTCCAAGTAGAACATACGCCAACAAAAATTGTTTGAATAAGATAGAAGTAAAATTATGTTATTTTCGTTATAATAAACTGAAATTAATTTAGTATGTGAAAAAAAAAAATTGAATTCAATTTTATGGTATAAGAATGAGTTAGATGTATTGTAAAAAAAACAAGTGAAATATATATGATTATATATAATTTTACAAGTGAGAATTGAAATTAATTAATACTATTCAAATTTGATCTACAAAATTAAGTTCTTTCATATTGTTTTTCTACATATTTAATAAATTATTGTTATTATTATTACTTGAGTAATTATGTATTTACTCACATTACTTATTTTTTTCAATTTATTAATATCGATTAGCTAATTTTACCAAACGCTTTAGAACAATCCGCTAATGTAATCCGTCGGTCAAAACAGCCATTACAATCCGCTGGTCAAAACAGCTGATATAATCCGCTAACAGCTAACCGCTAACCGCTGATTGCCAAACAAGACCTATATACAATGTCAAGTATTGATTGGGCCCTTGGTTGAGGTTAATGTCCATCTTATTTGTTGATCAACATAAAAAGTATTATATTTGATAGATGAAATGAGGTGCTCGTGGATTTGGTTGGCTTAGTTTAGCTCGCTAAGGTTTGAACTTGGTTTGTTTCGTTTGATAAACGAGCAAACTCGAACTTTTTTAAAGCGGTTAACGATTCGAGCCGAGCCGAATAATTAAGGTTTGAAAATATAAAATTTTTATATAATTTTCTATATTCAAGGCTCGAGCTCAGTCGATAAGATAATAAAAGTCTAAGAATGTGATTGTTTATGGATTCGATTAGTTTTTATTTGGTTTGTTTTTTAACTATAGTTAATTTTGAAAAAAAGGGGGTATAGTTAGTTGTTAGTGGATATATTAAAATAATATTTAAATAAAATAATTAAACTTGATTTGATATAAAGCAAGATAAAAATGATTGGAAGTGATGGTTAGTTAAAATTATGTGAGTGGATGAATAGTAAATTAAAGTTGATGTGATGTGTAAGAATAATTGGTTAATATTATTTAATTATATTAATAATATTGAAGATAGTGAGGTTGAATTAATGTTGAGTTAAATTTGAATTTTGATTAGTTTTTTTTAGTTGAAATCATAAACAATCACCGTCTAATTATTCAACCCAACCAATCAAACAATGGATCGATTACGAATGGTACAAATTTCACCAAGACTGCCCCAACTAAATCAAACAAGGCCCAATTACTAAATCATTTGACAAATGAGCCGGTCAAACTACTATCTGACATGCAAGACCAAGTCGTCCATTTCTCTATATTACATTTAAAGATCTACCATTCACAAACGATGATAATATTGGTGCAACTATTATACCATATAAAGGATTTTTCCTATTGAGAATACTTGGTCAAATAGCAAGACCAGATTAAATAGGTAAAATAAAATTTGAAAATTTGTGTTGAATTTCATCAATTCTTTGCCGCCTATATATATGTATACCCCAAAGATAGATCTCACCACAAAACCACACTCAATTGAAATCCAATCATGGCCCGAAAAAGAGCGAAACACGGCCCAATCACAAACGAGCGTGCTAGAGACTCGATTCTGAAACGTAGGCTCGAGAGCCTCTACAAAAAAGCGCACGAACTATCGATTTTGTGCAACCTAGAAATGTTCATCGTCATCTTAAATCCTAATGAAGATACTCACCCGATAATGTGGCCCTCTCACGACAAGGCCATGGCCGGTATCACGAAATTCCTAGCCTTTCCCGAACAAGAAAGGGCTCGCAAAATGGTTCTTCAAGAAAAGCTCTTGACCGACAAAATGCACGAAATGATCGAAAAATTGTCCAAGCTACGTAAGAAGAATGACGAAACCGAGATTGAGATCCTCACAAAACGAGTCATTGATGGCGGCCAAATGTTGAACGAACTCGATTCGGATCAGCTGAATCGTATGACACGTTTTGTTGATGAAAAAATGAAGAGGCTTCAAAAAAGGCGCGACGAGCTTAATGAGGAGACGAATATTTTCGTTCATTGAGATGTAATGTTGTTGTTTTTTGAGCTCTAACAATTAAGATGGGGATTTCATCAAGAGGGTGATCAAGTTGGCTTTTAAGTGTTTTTATGTGATGAAGTCTAGTGAGATGCTTGTGTAACTTCATATGAATTGATACATGCATCTTGTTAATTTGGATTTTCTACAAATGGGTTTTGGCTGCTTCATTTGTTTAGGAAAAGCTCTTTAATTTGTTTACTGATTACATTTGTGCTTATGGAACACAAGTACCAATTGAGAACACTTTAATTAGAGTACTGTGTGTTATTTTCGAATTTGTGTAGATGAAGAAATATTAGTTTATTTTATATAAAAGAAATAATTATTATTTTTTATTTCCTACATGAAATATTGGTTTTAAATTGAGAATTGCTGAAAAAATTATTAATTTGATATGTTACTTATACAAAATTAAGTAATAAATAAAAATATTATATTTTTTATAAAAATGGAAAAATATGAATATTCAACTAAAAATTAAAAAATAAGGGGAATAATATAGATATCGAACTTAAATAATTGAGAAAATTAAAAATCATAACAAAACAGAATTTTTTTAGTGCAGACAAATTCAAAAAGAAAAATAAATTAATTTTAGTAATATAATTTTAGAGAAATAAATACCAGCCTTATTGCTAAAGCGTATAGATTTGTACATATGCTGTCTTGAGATACTTCAATACAAGAGCACAAACAATCTCAATGTTCATACTTGAAATTAGTATTTATTGCTTTTTGGGCCTATGGAACGACATGTGTGCCGTACAAAACTCAACAGACAAGGTCATTTCATTGGGCTTCAATATATGATGGGCCAACTTAAATTTTTTCGTGGACTCATATTCTTACTGGGTAAAAAAGTGTTATATCAGCTTTTCATTACAGAAAATAATTTCCCAAAACAAAATAATTTTCAAGGTTGATGGGCGCAAACATAGAATCGCGTGAAGCCGCACTATGGCGCGCAAAATAATAATGCTGAACAACTGCACCACGTCAGCTTTTAGATTTAGGGTGGTTTCAACTCAACTCGTTTATTAATATTAATACATTTAATTTGAGTTCAAAATTTTTTATAAAAAGTTATTTTTGAGTTTTAATGAGTTAAGTTTAATTAAACTAATTTTCAACTGAGCTTGTGATCAATAAATTTTGGCTTAACAAATGTAGGATCTCATAATATTAAAAACACATTTTTTATCCTCTCTTTCATAAAGTAGGTGAAAGGTCATTGGTTGTCTTGCTCTTTTAAGCCTAATGCGAGATTACGTGTAATGCATGTCCCAATCCAACTCTAGGATAATGTTTGTAATCCATTTCTTTACATAATAATAATCTTTAGACGACAAAATAAGGCTATTATACTACTTAAATAATCAAAACAAAAAATCCAAAAAAATGAACGAAATTATTAATAACAAAAAATAGGTGGTGATTTTTTATTTTGTTCTTTATAAGTGGTCAAATTTTATTTTCTCTAATATAGAAAAATAATTATTTCAAATTTCTAACTACTTATCTTTCATAATGAAATTTTATAATAAAAATAGTTATATTAGTAAATAAATACCCAAATGTTGCACTACAAAACCAAGAATAAATCATTTCTTGTTCGTGGTGCCATTAAACACGCAGCAAAAAGCAAGTGCAAGTTACAGTTATCCTGTGATCGGAGGGTAACCAAAGCAAGAAAACAAAGCAAACCCACTCTCTATTCACACACAGCACACACTGGGCTCGCTCAGTTTATCTCATACTCAGCCGGGTAAGTTTCTATTTGTTGAAATTCTCTGTTTTAATGGCTTATCTTTCAGAATTCCAGCTGAATCTTGCTTTTTCTGTGCCTTTTTTCTTTTTCTGAAATTTGGAATCAAGAATTGGGTTTTTTTGTTCTATCGCTACCTTTTAAAAGAAAAGATCTTTTGATTTTCTGTAAGGTGAGGGTGGTGGAATTTGAATCTTAGGTCACGTCATTATCTCTTCACCACCTTTGAGTTTGTCTATATCTATGTGGGTTGGATTTTGATCCGTAAATGATTAGAACAAAATTAAGTCGAAAGATGAGATATTTACATGGCTGAAAATATTAATTGATGTGGACTAATGTTGTCACCTTATGATTCATGTTTTTTGGCTTGAAAG